AGTAATATAAAATGTGTCAAAAGCCATCTAAGTAAAGTCATTGGGCTACAAATTTTAACCTTTGAAGAACTTACGACTGTTCTTACACAAATAGAATCGCTATTAAACTCTCGCCCATTGACCGTCTTAAGTTCAGATCCGTCGGACCTGGAAGCATTGACACCTGCTCATTTTCTTAATACTATACCGCTAAAACACTTCCCAGCACATGACGTAAGTGACGCTATTCCTCATCTTTTGAAACGACACGAGCTTTTAGACCAACTCGTTCAATCATTTTGGAAGAGGTGGCATCGGGAATATTTGCATACGTTGCAATTGAGACGCAAATGGAACACGCCGGCCTTTCCTATCCAGGAAGGCACGATAGTAGTTGTTATGCAGGAGAATTTAACTCCATTACATTGGCCTCTTGGTCTTATAACACGAGTTTATAAGGGTAAGGACGGCATTATTCGCGTTGCCTCAGTCAAAACAAAGGCTGGTATTTTTCAAAGGCCAGTGGTAAAATTATGTCCATTGCCTTTGCAATAATATGTATTCTATAAGATAGGTAGTACGCATTTATAATAGGTTAATAAGTTAAGTTAAAATCCTTTGCATTTTTCTTATTTAGTAAATTCCGCATTTGATATTTTTTGTATTTTTTCTTTCTTGTTTTTTGTATTTGTCGCATTCGCAATAAGGTTCAATTGTGTAGTTCCTTTATTTTTTTTTTCTTTTGTTAATTTTACTTTGACATTATGTCAAGGCGGGGGGCATGGTTACGCCAAACGCGATGCGTACCTGGTTTGTTGATGTGCATTGACACCCCTCCCGGCTAATTCAATAATCAGTGATGTCATAGCTTTCGCCGCGCGCGCACGTCGCACTCATATCGCACGCATGTCTTAATAGTTGTAATCAACCTGAGTGAATTCCTGAGATTCCCGTAACCGTGTGGGCCCACTGAAGAACAAGCACATTGAAGTAAGGGTAAGTCATTCATATTTGACCAGCCAGTTTCCTATACAACAATATAGTCCATCGAAGAAGGCTAGATCATAGCCACCGCCGCACCAATCGTCTTATCTAAAATATGTCAAACGTCACTCTCTCTCTCTCTCTCTCTCTGTTAAGTGTCCTCGTAAATGTATCCCGCGTTTTTTTTACTGTCTCCATAATTTGTATATTTAGTATTATAAAAATAATTGCAGTTAAACACAAGTTTATTTTATTATCCACTGGCAAATGCTCTGCCCAATAGGTTACGTCCCAGTGAATCGCAATGGCATTAAAAAGTCACATCGAAACTTTGAACAAAAATAACTACGACACGTGGAAGATTCAAGCCGAAGCTCATTTCTTCTCAGTTCTCATTAAAAATGGATTACACCAATGCCTGGATGACACCGAAACAGATAAAGGTAAAGATCTTTTGGCCAAAGCCGAACTTTTCCTATTAATATCTCCTTCGGAGTTAAAACTGATGAAATCATGTTTAACCGCTAAAGAGGTGTGGTATACACTTATAAATGCATACGAGAGCAAAGGTCTTGCTCGTAAGGCTACCTTACTTATAAAATTGTTACATAAAAAGTTAAAAAATGGAGAAAATATAAGGGATCACATAAATGATTTCATAGATCTGATAGACAAGCTCAGAGATATGGATATTGTTATAAATATGGACCTACTGACCATAATGATGCTCTATAGCTTACCAGAAGAATATGATAACTTCCGTGTTGCAATTGAGTCACGCGACCGTCTTCCTTCGCTTGAGGAATTAGAAATAAAAATAATAGAAGAGAGTAAAGCCAGATCAAATACAAAAATTGAAAATGAAAATGAGGCGCTCTCGTACAGGCACTTGCCCACCAGCTTGCCCGCCAGCTCGAAGTACTTCAGCTGCCCGCACACCATTCAAAATTAGTCTCTATTGTATTAGCTTCGCTACGTGTATTTATTGAAGCTAACACGATATCTATATAGATAGTCTTCAGTCTTTTATGGACACACGTCGTACGCAGTGTCAAGTCAGGACATATCCTGGAAAGGTATACTTAGCAAGCTTTTCTAAATATAATAAGTTGAAAAAATATCCTTAAGAAACTCTAATAACTCCAAAAAACCCAAAAGACCAGTAATAGTACCTTGAGATGCGGCGGCCGGTGCGGATTGGGGTGCACGAGACCGGTGGGCGAGTCGTGGAAGGACACGAATAGAGCGAATTGAGAGTCGAACAGCTGACCGCAAACCAGCGAGAACCACTCCCGCCGTACTCCGCCCCAGTCCACGCCTAGAAGGGGGGGAAAGGTACAATAAAAAAATACAATAACAATCCTGGACAATACACAACGATATCAAGTCCTAAGCCAAGCAGAGCTTGCGTTACGGGTACTAGACAACTGACATAAATATTTAGATACATTTTACAAAGTGGGTGAATGTTGGGGCTTGGGGAAATGCCTTTGCCCCGGCGTCAACTCCTGAGGCATGTCAGATTGATCTCTATGCGGTTCACTCTTGAAACCATCATAATAAATTCATTATCATCCATTAAAAAAACTTATAGTAACAAAGCTTATAATTTATTATAAAAGAAGACACAAGATAATGTAGTACAGACAAAAATATAGAGCAGACCCTGCTCGCCCTGGAAGGTGACGTCGAAGTTCTTGCACCAATCGGCGAGCGAGAAGTGCTTGGTGGCCTTAAGGCTGGACCGCAGCAGGTCGGCGCGGTCGACCCGCAACTGTATCTTGTCGTGCGGGTGACGAGCGTGCACCTTCTGCACCTCACTGTAGAAGAACTCCTGCTTGTTCTGCAACGGACACTTCACATTAATAATAATCTTACTGTACACGATGAAAATTAGTGCAATAGTTTGCTCAAAAATAAAGAAGTGACCCACACGTATCGTATACATAATGACCCACATGGAGTTGGTAGATCCATCGGGCAATTAGCTTGGAACTAGATGGCGCCGTGTGAATTATCCTAGAGGCCAGCATCAAAAATAAAAATAAAAATTATAATAAGAATAACAATTTCAAAAAATAAAAACTATATAAAGTATCAAAATTGCCACAAAATTGGGCACAAAAATATTGACTGCTGGCAAACAAAACAAAATCACAAACAATTATTTGCTGAAGAAGCTCATTACTCTGAAAATAGTATAAATAAAAGCAAATGGTGTTTAGATAGTGGTTGCACTTCCCATATGTGCAATGACAAAAATTCATTTAGTTCTATGAGCACTGTAAACGATATATTAAAATAAGCATCTGATAAAACAGAAGAAATCAAAGGGAAAGGTACAGTGAAAATAAAATGTAGAAAGTATGAAAATATAAATTTAACTGATACTCTTTATGTACCTAGTTTATCCACTAATTTGATATCAATAGCTAAAGTAACACAAAATGGATGTCAAGTAAAATTTTATCAAAATACAGCATTGATAATTGATGAACAAGGTGATATTTTGATGAAAGCAATAAAAGAAAATGGTCTATATTATATAAGATAGGCCGGTAGATTCAAAAATCATGTTGGACAATAAACCTATTAATTTTGTGGATGATACTGTATTTCTAGGTATCACATTAGATTCCAAGTTGCAATGGGGTGCTCATATTACTAAATTGGCGAGTCGACTTAGTTCTGCCGCTTATGCGGTAAGAAGAATTAGAGAATTAACAGACGTGGCAACGGCTAAACTTGTGTACTTTAGCTATTTCCATAGCATTATGTCGTATGGTATTTTGTTATGGGGCAAAGCAGCTGATATAAATACAATATTTATTTTACAAAAGAGGGCCATTCGCTCCATTTATAGCATGGGTTCCAGGGAGTCTTTGCGAGAGTGCTTTAAGGAATCAAATATCCTCACCGTTGCTTCTCAATATATTTATGAAAATATCATGTATGCCAGGAAGAATATAGACAGTTTCAAAAGAAAAGTTAGTGATTGCACTAATAAAAGCTTACTTAACAATAACAAACTGATTTTACCTAAATGTCGTTTGGCTAAAGTTAGTAATTCGTTTTATGGCAATTGCGTAAGGTTTTACAATAAAATACCAGAGTCTGTTATAAATCTGCCAGAAAAAATATTTAAATGTCAAATAAAACACTTCCTTTGCAAAAAAGCTTACTATAAAATTGAAGAATTCGTTAACGATAATAATGTTTTTGTAGAAAAATTTTAAATACATAGCACTGACAATATTATCTGATTACACTAGTGCGTAGCGATTTCTATGTTGATTATCGCACTTGTTACACTGTAATTATTTATATAAAAAAACATCTATTAAAAAGAGCAACACACAAGTTTCTTGCTCATTCTTCTTGTGATGAATCTGCATTCCGAATGAGTGGTAGAATCAAAATATGACTATTCAAAAGTGTTTGTAATGAGTTTATTTGAATAAAGATTATTTCTATTTCTATATATGTACAAATAAAAAATGATAAATCTTATTGAGTGACGTCACGGACGTCTTGGTGTACAGTACATCGTTACGTCAAATTATTTGTTAAAAATAAAAATATAGTTATAATTGTTGTGAAAATTTGTTTATTTTAATAGCAGTGATACAGTACTTAATATTGAGTGTTATCTAATAATAATATACAGTAATTGCAGAGTAGTCGTTGTGATAGTGGCGATCTGGAAGTTCGTTGGTGACGGTATATTTGAAAAATTCAGTGCATTACAATACTAAGTAAATAGTTATCAGCGCCATCTTTTGACACCCGTTCACATCAACAAGTATCGATCGATAACAGTGCCATCTGTTGACACGCGTTAACATCAACAAGTAGCGATCTATTTTATTTGAAACAGAAGAATAGTTGTAAATTGTGGTGCTTGTGGAAAGTTCCTCTCACCGGCAGATGGTGCTGTATGCACTAAATGTAAAAATATTTACCACGCAGCTTGTTTGGGGCTTCCAAACTTAGCTAAACTTAGACCTGGCTGGATTTGTCCTGGGTGCTCAATGAACATGCCTAGAGATAACTCATCCGAAACACCTGTAAAGGGTATGAGCAGCACATATACCATGGACAAGCGTGAGAGGCAGAATGTGGCGGATGATGAATCGATGGATTGCACGGCGTTGAATACCACGGAGGAGTTTAAAATAGAGCTGGCACTGGAAATTAAAGATTTTAGAAGTGAGCTGAAATGTGTGCGAGAAGAAATGAAGGTTCTTCGTCAGGAAATGGCAGAATACAGAGCTTCGGTCGCCGCCTGTAACACTCGAATAGACAACATGGAGCGAAGGCTAGACGTCGTAGAGCAAAAGGTTTCGGAGGCTGGTGTGGGCCGCACAGCTGAGCTAGAGGAAGTGGTACATTCGTTACAATCCCAGTTAAATGAACGAGACCAGGAGTTACTCTCAAACGATGTTGAGATAGTGAACATACCGGAGATACAGGGAGAAAATCCGTATCACATAGCATCGGTGGTAGCAGCCAAGCTGGGTATGCCGCTGGAGGAGCGCGACATAGTATCCGTGTCCCGAGTGGGGGCGCCGCGCGGCGGGGGGCGAGCAAGCGTCCAGCCGCCCGCGCCCTCTAGTTGTTACGTTCGCCCGACGCTCATTGCGGGACCGACTGCTCCAAAGCGCTCGAGTAAGGCGAGGAATTACGACACTAGACCTGGAAGTATCGAGAGAGGCACATACGGTCTTATTACAAAAAATCTGTTGAAACTCGGACGAAACGTGGTCTAAATGGTCGTGGTTTAAACCATTCCTAAAGTTAATACTTGGAATAAACCTAACATTATTACGAATCCAGATCTAACAGAGGACTACTTAGTACTACAGTTAAATCGTTCATTATGTATTCCATACAGAAATCAGTCACTCATGTCTGTCACCGTACAATTACGTTCCATTTTACCAGAAAACTGAAAAGATCAAAAATAATATTAATTCAAAGAAAAATGTATAAACTAAAAATAAATTTATTTCTATTTATCTAGGTCTTCATTATAACTATTTCATTAATATATAATATTTATTAATGTACTATTAGGCTGAAAATCAGTTTTAAATTACAAGTAGGAGTCCTATACGGAGGAAAGGAACGGCGAGATATTTTTATTGGATCGTTCGAATGGTGACTATTTCAAAGTCAAATGAGTGAAAAAATAACAAATAACGTCTTTTATATATTTATATTGTCGTAAAATTTGCTTTAAATATTTTTAGTTAATATATTTTTAATTTAGTTAAAATATTTTTCCAAAAACTACAACTTACAATAGAATTTTTAAAATGGAGTTTGTATTTTTGCATTTAGACCACTGTTAAACTAGGGGCATCGCAGGTCTAACTTTAGACCATAGACGAATCACGATTTAGAGATAAACTTCATTTTGTAATAAGGAATACATTGGTGAATGGTTTATTACTAGTGCTAAACCAGGTTTATCTTTTTGTAATAAGGCCGATAGAGTCTATATCAATGAAAGACTTACTCGATACAATAGAAATCTGTTCTACAAGTCCCGAGAAGCTGGTCGTGAAAAGGGCTGGAG